ACTGGGAAGGAGCAACCACAGGGTGAAAAGGAGAAGCACGAGGAAGAGCGGCATCCTGAAGGCAGATCCAGCACAGAGTGAGCATGGTGCCAAGGTGCCGGTGCAGGTGCCCGAGACGGGCCAGCTGGTCTCCTGCCCTCCAGCCTGCCCACCCCCACTGGCAGCCATCTCTCAAGCGTGGAGACAACTCTGCTGCAGACTGCGCCCCTGCTATTTCGGAGGACGGGGCAGTAAATTGACGAACACTTTAGAGTGATGAGAAAGGAGCACTTGTCGTGGCAACGAGGGTACACGGAGTAGGGGCATGGAGGGTGGACCCTGAAGGGCTGGGGAAGACTTCTCAGGGAGGGTGAGACTTCATGCAGACTGTGGGGTGAGGATCACAGTGGCTTCCTGGGTGAGGAGGCACTGGGCAGGCTCTGGACGCCTCAGGAGCAGGTGGAATGAGGAAGGCAACTCCTAGCCAAGTTTGTAGAAGAGTCACAGAAGTCAGGGAATGTGCTGAAGCTGCAGGGAATAGGGAGGGGCCCAGTAGGGTTGGGAGCTCTGGCCTTTGGGGCCGCTTGGAGACAAGGCAGGGAAGGGGTGTGAGAGAAGCATGAGCCTCAATGATCTCATGATCTAGTTAGGGGGCAAGACAGAGCCCCACAGTGCAGGGCGGGAATGGAGGGTGCCTGAGTCGGAAGCCCAAGAAAGTGCTACGGGAGCTCTCTGGGCGGGAGGAGGTTGTCTGGGTGCAATCAGGGAAGGCTGCCAGTGGGAGGTGACCTTGAAGAAGGTGTAGGCTTTGCCCAGAGGCACAGAAGAGCTTTCTTGTCAGAGGAGACCCCACATGCAAAGGTAGGAAGGCCAGAGGATGCAGCCTCTGTCCAGGAAGCAGAGCTTGATGCGAGATATTAGCTAGATCCTTTGGATTCAGACCCAAAAGACTTTACGCGCGCGCACACACACACACGCACACACACACAACTCTTTATTGTATGGTTGTACTGTGAAGCCACTGCAGGTTCCTGAGCTGGGAATGGACACAGTGGATCTGGTTTTCGGGAGACAGATCAGGCGACAATATACAGGGTGGGAAGGAAGGGGTCCGGGAGGTAGGTAGACCCTTTTGGAGGCAGGTGTACACCCAGGTCAGGGGTGGGAAGCAGCAGACACAGGTGGGAGCCATATGACACTTTTCCTTTAAGTTGGGTCAAGGCTCTTGCAAGCCGCGTCTTGTGCCTACACTGCCCAGCAGGGTGGTGAGAGGCCAGTAATACAGGAGTGTCACAAGGCCTCAGTGACCCCAGAAGACTTTGTGGCGGGGCTGCCCAGGGCCAGCTGGGGACAAGGAGGGCCACACTTCTGTTTGTGGGGACCAGCTCATGTGTACCCAACATCATGCCAACTCCTTTCCATCCACCCCCCCACTTAACCCTCCCAGCAGCCTTACGAGGTTGGTCCTACTGTAATCTCCATTTTTTCAGATGAGAAAAATGAGGCTCAGTGAGGTACGATGACTTGCCCTGCACACAGCTAGTACATAGTGGAGCCAGGATTTGAACCCACATCTCCTTGGCCAGGCCAGTATTTCAAGGTGAGCTAAGGGACCCCAGAAATAAGAACAATGAACTGATTTGTCAAGCACTTACACCGTGCCAGGCATGTACAGGTGTCTTTATCAGGTGTCTTTAGGCTGGGCAGTATATGATACCTTTGTCCCAGCTCAGGAACCTTCAGTGGCACCTCAGTACCCCAGCCCAGTGGTCTTCACCTCATTTTACAGATGAGAACTTTGACACTTAGAGCAGATGGGTTGCTGGCCCAGGCTGGGATGTGAACCCAGAGCTGTGTTCTTTTAACAGAAGAACACAGGAAGGGGGGCCAGCAGGGGCCTTTGTGAACAGCAGCAGTTCAGAGCTAGAGCCGGGAGGGTGGGCCGCCCAGGAGAGTGGGCTGCCCAGGCCCAGGGAAGCTTCCAAGCTGGCCACCTGACTCTTTGTGCCCCACTGGCTCTTCACATACAAGTTGTGGGCCTGCTGACTGAATAGGCGGCTGTCTTTTTCCCTGGGGAGCTGCCCCAGGTCGGCTGCAGGTGCAGATAGAGTTGAATTCGGGATAGGGCCTTCTCTCCTGCCCGGCCTGGCCGCCAGGTAACCTCTGGCCTGAAACGGAAAGCTTTCCAATAAGTGCCTTGCTGGCCTGCAGCCCAGCTGTGTGGTAGGTGGGAGCGGAGAAGCAGGAGGACTTGGACACCCGAGAGCAGGGGCAGAACCTTGCCAACAAATCTTTTAGCGAGTTGCCTCCTCAGCCGGCTGCCTCGGGAGTGTTCGGGAAGGACAGCTGGTCACGAGGAGCCCTGGCTGCCCTCCCGGCCCAGCCAATGCCCTGGGGCCTCGGGACGCAGGGTTGGCCCAGGAGACGGAGGGCCTGTGGGGTGAAAACACCAGGCAGCCCGGGGCAGGATCCAGAAATCGGGTACTGTGGGCCACCTCTCCCTTGACCTTGAAGGACACACAGCTTGGGCTTCTCTTCTCTTCGCGTCAGAGCAGCCTCCTGCCCCCGCAGGGGAGGGGGACGTAGCAAGCAGATCTGAAATTGTTTTCCCAGGGAATTGAGAGGCCCTCTTGTGGAAAACACACTACACGTGGCCCGGCCTGGGGCCCCATTCCTCCCTTGGGCTAATCTTGGACGGGACCTCTCTGGGGTCCTCATCTATGAAATCTAGGGGTGAGGCAGCCGCATCTCAAAAATCCCTCCAGGCCCTTAAGAAGTCAGGTGTGAGGCCCTGTGGTTAACAGGGAGGGACCCTGGCATCAGAGCCAGGAGTGTGGACCCCAGACCTGTGCCCTTTGGCCTGGGCTTGTCTCAGTCCCTCTCTGGTCATGTGTGGCCCATCTGGGTCCCAAGGCCTGAGCACCTCAGGAGGGTAAGGAGTTGCCACGAACCGTGCTCAGCCTTGGACACCTACAGGGGAAGCAGCCAGGATAAACCAGAAAAAGACCAACTTGGTTTGGCTTTGAGTGTTTTCCTACTAATCCTTAAGTGTAGGAGGGGTTGACATTCTGGAAATTCACTTCAACTCAAAAGCCGAAGCCGTCCCAGGACACGTGTCTCTGGATTGGGAAACGCCTGCATCCCCCAGCCCTCCCCTCCCTCCACTCTTCCTTGCAAACCCTCCCTTCTGGAAATGTGTCTTTAACCTCCAGACTTAACTTTCTCTCAACTTCTCCCGGATCTCCCTCCCATCCTTTTCCAAGCCGTGCCCTTTATCTGACCTTGCTGCCCAGCCTAGAGAGGTGGTTAAGTGTTTGAGTTTCACAAGGATTCTCTGCCTGCGAAGTCAACACAAGTGAGCAGTTAAGGAAGCACTAATTAAGGAGATTAGACGCTAGCTCTGAATGCAGGAGTGCCCGCCAAGCCGTACTTCAGACTCAAGTGGGGCTCAGCACCTGTCAGGGAGCTCTAGTGTCCACTGGGGGAAGGTGGAGGCTGTGAGTGTCAGTGCTTTGAGCCTCTGCAAGGAGGACATTGAAGGAGCAATTACTCCTCTGAAGTTACCCTCTAGTCCCGAAAGGAAATTGCTGCTGCCTGCGATGACTGAAGTTGTAAGGAGTTGATGGGAGGCCACCATCTCTTCCAGGAAGCCCCCCAGATGGCCCCAGGCACATCTCTTTCTCCCTCATTTCTTCCTTTACCATCCTCTAGAAGGCAGGCTCTGGTTGTCCCATGTCGGAGGTTCTTCCTCATCGCTCTGCTGTCCAGTCTGTGATGTGGAAAACTGCACAATTTTCTCAGCCTTTACTCCCAGGACAAGAGTCTAAGGCCCCAGTGGCAGGGGCCAGGCCTCAAAGCTCACGCTTTGTGTACCCACTGGCCTAGAGCAAGAGTGGCCACGGAATCTTTGGTTTGTGCATTTGTTTAGTTTCTTTGTCCAAACTGTCTTTCCGTTTTTTTTTTTTAAACAGAAATAAATTTCTGGTTATAAAAATAATCCATGGGGCTTCCCTGGTGGCGCAGTGGTTGAGAGTCCGCCTGCCGATGCAGGGGACACGGGTTCGTGCCCCGGTCCGGGAAGATCCCACATGCCGCGGAGCGGCTGGGCCCGTGAGCCATGGCCGCTGAGCCTGCGCGTCCGGAGCCTGTGCTCCGCAACGGGAGGGGCCACAACAGTGAGAGGCCCGCGTACCGCAAAAAAAAAAAAAAAAAAATCCATGAGCTGAAGAAATCAAAAAGCACCTGTAATCCCAGCACTCAGCAACAACCACTGAATCACTTCCTGCCGGACTTGATTCTGTTCAGGCTCATCCACGTTGGCAAACAGGAAAGAAATTATATTGTGCTTTTTTTTTTTTTTGCAATCTACTTTTTTTTACCTTAACAGATCCCATGCGTATCTCCCCAACTAACATAGGTCTTTCTCAGTTGTGTGAATGTCTGCATAGTGTCCTATTTTATACATGAGCCACAATTTGTATAACTACTCTCCTATTATTGGACTTGGAGGGTTTTTTTCCCAACTTTTACCCATCATATATGATACGGCAATAAATACCTTCCTGGGTAAATATTTATGAACATCTTTTTGTTCTTAGAATAAAATAAAGAATGGCATTGAAGCGTCAGCGGACTGGCACATTTGTTAAGATTTTGTGGACCAAATGACAGTTCACCCGGCCACCTGCCACCCCCAGCATAACAGAGAAGTGGTGGGCGCCCAGCTGGCCCTGATGGTTGACTTGCTGGCAGACGTAAGAGTGGACCAAGGTCTGGGAAGCAGCTCATCCCTTGAACTCAGTCTCTCCAACCCCCCCCCCCCCCACTCTCTGCTGCCCTGAGGAAGAAGCAGCCCACGGGGGGACTCTGGGTCCTGGATGTGCCTTCAAAGGCTGGTGGCCCTGGGGTCTCCCTGGATCGTGCCTGGGAGCCTGCCCAGGCATTTAGAGGAGGCCCAGGGAATGGTGGCTTGTGTGACTGGGGTGGAAAGGACGACATTGACCCATCCTCTGTGCCTGCAGGAGGCCTCAGTGGGGCAACGGTCATTGATTCCCTCGACACCCTCTACCTCATGGAGCTGAAGGAGGAGTTCCAGGAGGCCAAGGCCTGGGTGGAAGAGAGCTTCCACCTGAACGTGGTGAGTCAAAGACCTCCGGGGTAGTAGAGCCAGAAGGGGCCCGAGAGGTCAGTGACCCGCTCCTCCCAGGCTGCCCAGCAGAGCATTCTTGGAAGCAGGGTTCCATGCACCCTGTGCCAAGGCCCCTCTCCTCAGACCAGCCTTGAGGTGGGGGATGTCCCCCCAGCCCTGGCCGGCCCATGAGTATTTACTAGCCGGAACTCCCTGGGGTGGAAGACAGCCATTCTTGCCCTCCCTAGGGTGTCAGGCACATTGCTCCCTTCCAGGAAGCCCCTTCTGGGACTGACTCTGTCAGACAGAACAGCAGCAACAGGGGAAGCGACTCTGGGAAGGGAGAAGTGGTTATCTGCTCAGAGATGCCCTAACCTAGAGGTCCCCATCCACCCCCGTGCTGCCCTCTTGAGAGTGAGAGGCGCAGGGGGAGCTGTCCGGTTTGAGGCCATGACCAGGCTTGGGGCCCTCTTGGTTTCTAGCCTTGCAGGCATCCCTGGTCAGGGACCAGGTCCTTGGGGCGGGGATGCTCATGTATATGGATGGTACAAAAGCCTTAAATACCAGATGCCTCTCCCACTGATCTCTCAGCCCAGACTAAAGTAACAGATCCATCCTGGAGGTCTCAGCTCCCCACAGGGAGAGGCTGTTTAGGTGGTTTGGGGGAGCAAGACATGGAGACAGATGGGTAGGGGGAAGGGTCACATCAAAACACACTGTCGGGCTCCATCTGGGGCTCCACAAGTGGCAGATCCTACTATGAACCGGGACAGCTCCTGGCAGGATGGAGGCCTCTGCTCCTGGAGAGGCCCATGTCAGAGCAGAGCAGGGCAGAGAGACAAAGTGGGGAAAGTCCGGGAAGGCAACGCTACAGGAGAGCCTCTGGCTCAGCTCGCAGCCTGGGAAAAGTCATCTAACCTTCCTGGGCCTTACTTTCCCAACCGAAAGATGGTACAATGATAGTGCCTAATTCACAGGCTTGTGAGGACTGACCACCACGGAGGGCTGTGAAAAGCATTTTACGACACTATACAGTCCAGTACAGATAAAGTGGTGTCATCGTCACTGTGATGACGTTGAGGCCTGGTACGACTTCTGCTGGTCTGTGTGAGGCGAGGAAGTTCAGAATCCTCCCATTTCCTACGGTATCAGAGGCAGAAGGAAGGAGTGTCTCCATAGCTCACCTTGACCCCTCCGCAGATGGTGGGTAGAGAGCAGGCCTCAGGCAGCTGCCTGAGGAGCCAGGTGGTGGCGGGGCTGGGCAAGCCTAGGGACATTCACACAGGCTGGGACAGATTGGGAGTGTCCCTGGAAGAAAGCAAGGTGGGGTCTCTCCACCTCTCTGAGCCTGGGCTTTCTCACCTGAAGAGTGGGAAGGATGCCTTCACCAAGGACTGTAAGGCAAAAGAGAGTAGCTGTGCAAGTGCTCTGTTAATGGAAAAGCTCTCCCAGATAAAAAGATGACCATTGCCGTCATCAGTAACAAAAGACCGTGATGTGGGAAGTAGGCCAAGGGGAGCCCTGCGGGGCAGGGGGTTTATAACAGGCACCTCTATGAAGCCATGCCCAGCACTGGGAAGGCACTGGGCAGGCATCTCACCTGCCCCACTCAGGATCTCACATCCATCCTGCTCGGGATGAAGAAACTCAGGCAGGGAAAAGCTAATCTTGCCCGAAGTTCGAAAGCCAAGTGAGTGACTCAGGTGGGATTTTAACCCAGATCTGGTCCTCGGCGTGATGCCTCAGTACCCCTGCTTTGCAGTCCGCACTTCAGAAAGAAAACAACAGTGATGAAGGCAAGTGTGGGTGTGCCCTGAGGGCTACAGAGCTGAGGCTGAGAAACTGCTGGTTGCCACCCCTCCTTTCTGCCTCAGAACCTCCTGTGAGAACTTTCCACTTGCCCTGTCACCCCAAAGGACCACACCATCCTCCTGCTAAGCCAGGGGGCTCTCTCGGGAAGGAGGGGGCCAGACAGGAGGAGGATTTGCCTCTCCTCAGGATAAGCTTCAGCCAGCAGCTCCCCACACAAGTTCCTGAGCTCCTTGGAGAGCAGCCAGGCCTAACTTTGCTCTGATGGCCTCCAGCAAAGGCTGGGGAAGGAAGCCAAGCCCAGTGTTTATTTGGAACTCTGTAAATGTTCAGTAGCTGCCCGCCAGGCAGGTGCTCATCCCTTTCACCTTTTGCTCTGAAAACCACCACCAAAGGTAGCCTGGCCCGCTGGGCAAGGGCTTGGAGCCCGGCACAGGTGTGGCCGGGTCAGTGGCGCAGGGACAGCGGCAGGTGTGACCTGTCTCAAGGGCCTGGCTGCCTCAGGAAGCCCTGTGGGCACCTCACGAATGTCCCCACTGCCCCCCCTGTCTTTCTGCCCCACAGAGTGGAGAAGCATCCTTGTTCGAAGTGAACATCAGGTACATCGGAGGACTTCTCTCGGCCTTCTACCTGACGGGAGAGGAGGTAAGTTGGCCTTTCAAAGCCCCTGGACCATCCAGGCTGGAAAGGGCTTAGGAGAACCTCCCACCCCCTCATTTTACCAATGAGGAAACAGGGATTCGAGGGGATCTGAATCCCATCTCCATGGTGCCACCCACAGATTCTTCCTTCAACTTTGCTGCCCAGGGGAGCCCAGGTGGCTCCCACAGTTGCTAGTAAATTCTCCAAGGGCAGCAGTTGGGGCTGCCCACCATCCTCACAGCTCGCCATAGGGCACCTGCGATATCTGTGCTCCGTCCAGGCTTGTGCTGCTGCTGGACTGGTTTTCCCACATGTTGGTTCTCAGGACTGATAAAGCCAAGACCGTTGTTTCACCATTTCCTCCTCGAGCCCCTTGGCCTTGGCCTGCTCCACGGCCATCCCCTTGCCCTCTGCTCCCGGGCCAGACACCAGCCAAACTCCAGCTCCAGGTCTCAAGGGGGCGACCGGGGAGGTGGGCAGCCACTGCCGGCCACTCGGCCCAGGCGAACCGCGTTGGCTTCCAGAAGGAGGGCCGTGAAGGGCGGCGAGAATGCAGAGCCCTGGGCACAGAGTCAGAAAACCTGCGTCTCATCCCTACGCGGCACCTGCCTGTGGCCTTGAGCAAGTCCCTTCTCCCGCCCCTAGACCTCATACCTTCCCCACGGTGGGGTGGTCCTAACCCCCAGGGGTCAGAGAGCTCTTGTGAAATGGGACGAGTGGGAAAGGGTTTGGCCCCAGGGCTGAAGGGCTCCAAAGCCCATGTTCTCTGCACTGCAAGGAATCCTGAGAACACAGAAATGGGAGACTTCATCCCTTGTGAGCGCCTGGGAAAGCACAGCCTGAGGATCTGGGGGGAAGCTGGCAGAATCCCCAGCGCATGGGGCACCCGTCAGTTGTGTGGCCCCTACGCAGAGCGGCTGCACTGCTCGGCACAGCCGCAGCTCTGTCCGCGTGGAGACATTATTATCCTGCCCCCTGCTGGTGGGGAGCCTCTGCCGCTGCTGTCAGAGAAAGCCCTGCCGCTTCCCTTCCAACAAGTGGCGCGGATGGGCGGAGGCCACGCGGGCGGAGGCAGCGGGCGGCGAGCACTTGATCTCTCCGGCCGCTCGGGGCCCCTCTCCATCAAGCCTAATCTCCTCAGCAGAGATTACCGCTTGTACCAATTTGTCCCCAAATGACTGTCCATGGGAAACCAGCGCGCCACCCAAGGCCTGAATTTCATTTGAAAACCCCAGGACAGGAAAATGATGTGGAGCAGAAAGAGGCGCCATGCTCTGCACGGGCACCGGCCAGCCTCCCGTCCAGGATGGGGTGGAGCCGTGCAGCTCAGGGCTCACAGCGGTGGGTGTGGGGCCAGCGATTTCTGGGGGTCAGACCAGGCAGTGGGGTGTGGTAGGAGTACCTGTGTCCAGAAGGCCCAAGGGGAGCCCGAGTGGCTCAGAACCCTGGGCAGGCAGGCTTCCGGGTTACGGGCGCAGCCCCGTCCTCCAGCCACGCCTCCCTGACCCCTCCGTGCCCAAAACCTCCCGGCGCAGAGACCGGCATACATGCAGCTGCGGAGACTGAGATTTAGGAAAGGGAGCCGGTGCGGGTCGCACAGGCTCCTGTGTCTTTCCACCGTGGGTCTGGGTTCTAGACCTTGTTCAGCCTGGCCCAGCATCACTGCTTATCACCAGGACTCGGCCACACCAGACTGAGGCCTCCATCCTCTCTCCATCCTCCATCTCGCATACAGGGGGTGCCTGTGGAGTGGGTCTTTCCCACGGTGTTTGTGGAATGAACGGTGAAGGAGATCCCACACCCCTTCCTGGGCTGAGGCCTTTCTTGCTTCAGAGGGAACCTGCAGGAGGTGGATCCCCTGCTGGGTAGGGCGGGAGGTGGGGGGTCCCACAGAGACTCTGCTTCCACGAGAATAACAGGAACGACCCCAGCTGCACCAGGTGACATTTGCAAAGCACTTTACAGTTTCTATAGCATATTCATTTATGTGCATCCTCTCGTCTGATTTCTAGAAGACCCCTTTGAAGAAGCCAGGGCACACGTCACTGTTCCTTTGTGCAGATGAGGCTCAGAGACAGTACCTGGTTCACGCAGGGTCACACAGCTGCTGAGTGGGGAGATCTGAGCCTGGGCTCTGACTCCCAGTCAAGAGCCCTTTCCACTCTCAGGATGTAATTTTTGCTGGTCTCTCTCACCTCTGTTCTGGAACCACTAGGCCCCCGCCCATTGCATGCCATGGCCGTCTGAGGCCATCTCTCTCTGTGTTGGTGAGGTGGCTCGGTGTCCTGGAAAAGAGCCACTTAATAGCTCCATAACCTTGGACAACTTGCTTCTCTGAGACTCAGTTTTGTTTTCCTCAAAGTGGGTCAACACCTTCCCCACAAGCCTGTTGCAAGCATCAAAGGTGACGTAGATAAGACACATCATTTCCAAATGATAAGGAGGACAGGTGTTCTGTTCCGCATGGTACCACTCCTGTCCAGTCACACCTGCAGCATCCTCCCTGGGATGGTTGAGGCTCTGCCATGCCAGCCTGCATCAGGGCCTTCCAAAGAAGGAGACGTGGTTTGCTGGCGGAGAGGAGCATTTCAGAGGAGTTAGCTTGGCGTCCTCAGGCAGAGGGCAGCCTGGAGCCCCAGCCTTGGGTCAGGTTCCCGTGGGTTCCTGCGTTCCTTCGTGCCTCTGTGCTCAGCCTCCCCGGGGGGCAAATGATGAGATCAGGACCTTCAAACAAGAGCCCCTTGTTGTTGCTAAACCAGTGGCTTCTGGGGTGACTCGAGGCTTTGGAATTTGAATTCTAGACAAGCTCCCTCAGGATTCTGCTGTGGCTGCCCCAGTGCCCACTTCTAGGACCCACTGTCGCACTGGACGTTATCATCTTCTGTCACCCATCACTACCAGGCCCCAGGTGCAATTCTTCCCTCTCCCTCCCACCCTCCCTCCTTCCTAAACAAGAACTACACCCGCCCCACAGAGGCTTCTAATCCACAGCCCAGGTAGTGTTCACAAACTCCTCCCCGCTGCGGTCCCCAAACAGCTGCCTCAGAACCTTTAAATTGCACATGTTAGAAGGAGAGACCTCAAGAAGACTTCATTTTGCAACAACACGCAGGCAATCGGCACACTGGGTCTCCCTGGAGCCCCAGAAGTGAAAGGAAATGCTTGTTGTCCCAGCAGGAGTGGTTGCTTAAGGACTTGCTTCTCAGCTTTTCAAAAATAAATAATGTTATTGTGGGTTTGCTTTTTTTTTTTTTTTTTTTTCCTTTTTTTCGGTACGCGGGCCTCTCACTGTTGTGGCCTCTCCCGTTGCGGAGCACAGGCTCCGGACGTGCAGGCTCAGTGGCCATGGCTCACGGGCCCAGCCGCTCCGCGGCATGTGGGATCCTCCCGGACCGGGGCACGAACCCGTGTCCCCTGCATCGGCAGGCGGACTCCCAACCACTGCGCCACCAGGGAAGCCCTGTGGGTTTGCTTTAATTGTAAAAATAGCACAGAAAATAGAGTTAAGCCAAAAGAAGAAAATAAAAATCCCCCATGAGCCTAGTCCTCTGAGAAGACCATGGTTAATAGTTAAGTGTATTCCCAACCTTTCCTCAGGCATCCATTTGTATATAATTTTTACAAAAGTTGAATTACACCATTGTGAAATGTTTTCTCTTAATAGATTATAAACCTTTTTTTGCTATGAAATAAACGTCTCCAACATCACTTCAGTGGCTGCATGGTATCCATTGCCTGGATAAGCCATCATTTCACCACTTCCCTGTGGCTTGGTATTTAGAGTATTTCCAGTTTTTCTATACTATTCTAAACAACACTGGAATAAGTAGCCATAAAGTTAAGTCTCTGCAACATCCTTGATGATTTATTCCCTTAGAATAAATTCCTAGGAGCCAGAAGGTCACAGGTGCTTTTGAATTAACCAGAAGAACAGTTTGAGGGGCTTAGAGCCTCGTGCAAGGGCCCTGACACCTGGGACCTCCCTGTGGCTCCCCGACTATCACATCACCGGCTTAGCCATTCACCTTTGCCGCTGTAAAATAGGGACAATGGGCAGAATCAGAATGTCAGAGAGGAAAGGCCCTTCCTTCCCCTGGGTTTACAGGTGTGAAGGCAGAGGTTTGCTGAGAAGCAACAGAAGCCAGGCTGGGAAGCAAGGCCGGGAGCTCCCCATCCCGTGCTCGTTACACTCTATCCGAATGTGTTTCTCACGCACTCAGCTTGGGGTGCACTGGCCCCGCCGTGCAGGCAGGCACTGACCATTGGTGACCCGCTGCCCTGACCTCTCCGTGTTCCCAGCACAGCATAATCACTGAGCCTTCGTCTAGTCCTGGCCCTGCAGTAAGGGCTTTACAACTATTATCTAATTTTCATCCCTCCAGCAACCCTCTGAGGAAGGCCTTGGATTTATAAACGAGGGAGGAACTTGAGCCAGGAATCCATGGACTCAGGTTCACGTCCAGGCCTGACTGACCCCAGAGCCTAACGCACCTCCCACTCTGGGCCCAGCAGCCTTGGCAGGTTTATCCGCCAGGATTCACAGTGCCCTTTGACCCTTCCTTGCAGGTGTTCCGAATAAAGGCCATCAAGCTGGGGGAGAAACTCCTGCCGGCCTTCGATACCCCCACGGGAATCCCTAAAGGCGTGGTGAACTTCAAAAGGTAGGATGCCGTCTGGTCTCCCACTTGTGGCTTCGGCTGCATCTGCGTGGAAACTGAGACACAGGGTGGGATGAATGCCGCCGCAGGAATCACGGGGGTCAGTGGCACAGTGACACCTAGCCTCGGCCAGGGGCTCCCCTGAGCTGGCGTTGGTCGCTAAACCTGGTTCTCGGGTGTAGGCCACGCAAGACCTGATCTTTCTGGCATGGAGATGGGGCCGCCGTTCCTCTGTGATCATCTCGTAACACTGCCGTGACTCACAGCCCCGCCGCTGTGCCCCAACTGCCCTCCCTTCCCAGCTGGGATCCCGGGCTGGGAGGCACGTCACACCTCCCACCACAAGCAGGAACCCAAAGCTGCTGGGGAGTCAGGACCCTGGGCAGAGGGACCCTGGTTTGCTGACCCCTCAGCCCCTGTCAGCCCAGAGGGGCTGTCAGAACTCAGAGGGGCTTCTGGGAGCATCAAGCCCATGGAGGCTCAGACTCCGAGGAGGAAAAACCCTGGCCGAGGTCATAGAAGCCAGTAACGGACCATCCAGGACATGAGCCCAGGACTTCCAACTCCATTTTCAATAATATCTATTGTGATTGCTCCCTGTAAAAATAAATCCTCATTGCAAAAAAAATGTGGATTATACCAGAAGTGTTGGATAAGACCCAGAAAATCACCTGTGACTCCACTAGTCAAGAAACCACTGGTATGTTTCCTTCTACCAACTGTTTTAAAACATTAGTTTTTATTGGCCACTTGCATCGTTTCCCCTCCTGATAGGTTGCGTAATTCGGCGTGTGAACTAGAGTCTTTCTGGACGTTCACCAGGTCACAGAGCCAGAGTAGAAGGGACCCGGGGTGACACAGCTAGAGCAGGTGGGGCCCAGGCCGCAGCTCCGTCCCGCTCCAAAGCCCCCCGGGGACTTACCTACCCTGCTGCTCCCCTCTGTGAGGGTGGAAGCCAGATGTGGCACTGAGACCCAGAGGGGAAAGGATGGGCTCAAAGTCAGGGGAATAGTGGCCAGCCGGCTTTAGGTCCACTGAGGAGCATGAATCTTGCTCCTGGAGACCCCAGTGCACCCCACTGTCTTGCCTTCCCTCGCTCTCTTCCTCCCCTGGGCTGCCATTTCTCACCATTTCCCTCGCTATCAGAGCCCAGCTCAGATGCCACCTTCTCCAGAAGCCACAAGTGTCCTTGCCTCTCCTGGCCTCCAGGCACTTTATCTGCTTCCTGTGGCCCTTGTCACACTCAGTCTTCACGTTCCCCCATCGGCCCTGGAGCTTCTTGAGGGCAGGATCCATGTCCCCGTCTTTCTTTGTTCATTCCTTCAACAAATGTTCACGTGAGCCAGTGTGTGCAGCATGAGAGACCGACTCTGATGACTGCTGTCCTTACCATTTATTGAGCGATCACTCTGCGCCTGGCATATGCTAAGGGTTTCGCTCAACGCCTCAGAGCACACTCCTCACAGCAGGCCTTTAGGGTGGGTATTTATATTATGCCCATTGCCCAAGGTCTTCTAGCTCACAGGCAATGGGGCCAGGTTTTAACCCATTTTGTTACAGATCAAAAGCTCTGCTCCCAATACCCACCTGGCCCTCCCTCAGGCAGGAGCCCTGCCACCCTCGCGACGCATGGAGCAGACCTGGACACCTGGTAGAAGGCACGTGCCGGTCCCCAGGCACCCAGGGAGCCCTCTGGGGCCATTCTTGAGACCATCCTACAACCTGAGCCTGGGGGGAGGGCTGTAATATGTCCATCACACTGGACTTTCTGTTCCATCTCCTGAAGCGCTTTCTTATCTCAGGGATCTCAGTCCAACAGGGGAGGGGAGGCAGGGGCCCTGGGCTCAGGTGGAGTGCCCAAGGCCCCCTTACTTCCTGGGGAGGTCGCACCCTCCAGGGCCTTGCCAAGAAGGGAGGACTCGGCCTGCTCAGCATCTTCACCTTCTTCATCTTCATCTCTGTGGTCAGAAAGGATTCCTGGGGTGTGATGTCACTTAAATCTCACTGCAGGCCAGGGAGGGGCCCTCAGGGCCCATCAAACCCCCATCTCGGTGCCAGGGTTGACTCCTCAGACCCTGACATTTTGATCCCTGCTCAGATTCCTTTCCCACCAACACTGATCTTGGAGAAACACGGCCAGACGTCTTGGAGCCAAGACACAAACACCCCGTCTTTCTGGATCCCTGTCCCGGGTCCAGCTTCTCAGGCCTCACTTAGCTCAGGCACCCCTCCCTCCTCCACGCATTGGTACCCCCTGACTCCAAGCAAGCCCCACAAGCTGCAGCCCTGGTTGCCTGCCTTACCCGTGTCCTGCAGAGCCCGGACCTGATCCCCCGCAGATCCTGACATTTCTGATTAAGAAAGCACGTTTATTTTTAGGCTGTTTGCATGCTGCCAGTGCTGTATACATATGTATGTGTATGCATATTTCCTGGCAACACCTCCCTCTCATTTTCTGGGTAAGAGAGTCTATTGCTAAAAATGCCTCCCCATTCCACCAGGGAAAACGTCAGGGATGTATACAGCCCGCGTGGCGCTGAGTGTTCCCTTTGGAGAGGGCCTGCTGGTGGGAGCTGGGTCCACACTGCTGCCCCTGGTCAGTGCAGGGCTGGCTGTGAGCAGTTCGGACCTGGGCCCTAGTAGGGGGGGCAGTAACTAGGCCCTGTCCCCAAACTGCCCGTTGAGGAGGACCCTGAAGGGAGGTGGTCCCCAAGTGAGTGTAACCGCTCCCCCTCCCTGGTGGCAGGCCTGGGAGGCGGAGGCAGGGGCAGCCATGACCTGTGACCTGCAGGACCACTGAACTCTGGGAGCGGGGAGGTGGCCAGTCCAAGGGCCTCCGCAGCTGAATCAATCTCACTGGCTCTCTCACACACCCAGCCTCACACACACCTATGCACCCTACTGCCACTCACCCAAATCACGAGGACTCAGATACGCAGGCTCACCTTTGTCACACGCACTCTCCCACCTCTATATATGTGCGCAGATTCACACACAAAGATGCGTTTACATGTGCACGTTTCTGCTACACACTTACACATCGTAATAATTGTGCACGTTTTTGAATGTTCACTGTGTCCCAGGCACAATGACGTGGGTTCTCTCTTTTCAGCACACAACAACCACGTGGGCCCCATTTTAACAGTGAAGAAACAGAGAGGTGAGGTAACTTACCCAGGTCACACAGCAGCAAAGCAAAGTTAGAATTAGAATCGTGGTCTGTCTGGCTCCAGAGTTAACGATTTCACCGTACACATGTGTGCACACACAGGCACACACATGAAGAAGCTTCCACCAGGCTGGGGAGGGGCATTGTGGAGCAGCCCCTCCCACCGGGGGAGAGTCCACTTGGAGACTTAAAAGGCAAGGAGGGGAGCAGAGGGCAGAGCTTCCATCAGCCCATTGCCTCATGAGGCTGATCAGAAGACCTCCTGGTCTCTGGATGCTGCCCAGAACAGATGCATTTGGGGCACAAAGTACCTAGGATTTGGATTTGAGATCAGCTCTACCAGCACTGTCACTTACTGTGTGACCTTGGAAAAGTGTCTTCTGCTCTCTGAGTCTGAGTATCCTAACCTATGAAATAAGAATCTTGGTATCTACCTCTAAAGTTAGATGTGAAGGTAAAACAAGATACGGCTGCTGCCTGGCACATTAGGAACTTAACTCTAACAAACAACACATAATTTAGATGTGCGTAATTACATAATGGTAACGATGACAGTCATCGTGTGCCTCATTTATATCTCACAATGGCTCTATGAGGTGTGGGTACTGTCATTTAACAGATGAGGAGACTGGGGTCTAGAAGAATTCACTGACCCTTCACTGACCCTCCTGAGGTCTCCTAAGCTGGGAACTGGGGGAGCCAGCATTTGAAGCCAGGCAGGAGAGAAGAAGGTGCCTGGCCTACCGCCCGCCTCTGCCCAGGGCGGCTGGACCACAGGAGGCCCACTTGGGAGGGTGAGCATTGAGAGGGAGGGGAGAGGAGGGAGAGGCTCCTGTGGGGGAAAATGAGAACAAAAGATGGCTGGTGGCTGGGTTTTTTTTTTTTACCTTGAATTTCTCTGCGAGGGCAGGAAGCATCAATTATTCAGGAAGCCCCTCTGTGGGTACCTGCAGCTCCCACTGAGATCACAGGCTGGAGAGAGAGGTCTCTTGGCGTGGGGGGAAGAGGGACAGAGAGGGGTCAGCTTCCCCTTCCCTCGAGGTGGCTATGGGGCCGTCTCGGGCACCCCTTAGGGAAGTGCTCTCTGAGGTTTGAATCCTGCCTCCACCCCCTACCAGCTCTGAGCTTCTGAAAGTGACTCACTTCCCTTTCTGAGCCTATTTCCTCAGGGTTTAACGATGCTTTGCCTTGTGGGCTTTAAATGAGGTCATGATGCAAACGCCTGCCCCAGTGCCTGCATCTGGAAGCTGTTTGATTTACTATCTAGGAGCCAAGTTTCCCCTCTCTGTGCAACCCATCCCTCCCCACCTGCCCCCAAGTCAGGAAAATACCCAAGGAAGCAGGGATGTTTACTGAGATCACCTGCTCCAGAAGATCCTAAGACTCAATTCCATCTGTTTCTGGAAGATGGAAGAGTTTCCTCACTTTCCTGAAACCACATCAGAGAGGAGAAGAGCAGCCTTAGGGGAGCCCCAGCCCACCCCAGATAAAGCAGTGCCCCTCAGCTGGCAAACTGTGACCTCCCAGACCCACGCCTGCCTTCCTAGGTCCTGTCCCTGGGAGACAGAGGGATGACAGAGGCCAGTTCCCAGGGAGCCAGAGCTACTACAGCAAGGAAGCAGAGGGGCTTCCAGAGGCCCCAGCAGAGCCAGCCCCCCAGCCTGCCACACACTGACTGCACCTTGGAGGCCCTACGGATAGGGGGCGCTCACTCCACCCCGCTCTGTGCCCACCCACTGTCACCCCGCAACCTCCCTGCAGAGAGAGGTTGACCCTTGTCTCCCTGGTTGTCCTAAATGTCCCACAGGAAAGAGCATCATGATACACATGAGGGCTCAGATCAGGGAGAGGAAGCAGCTTACCCAAGGCCACCACCATTCTGCATCTTCCTCTTCTCTCTCAATCCCCGCAAAGCCCTAGGAGCGGAGACTGGGACGCATTATCCTCACTCAGTCTGACGGATACAGAAACTAAGGTACACGGCAAGAAATGGTTTGCCCAAGACCTCGCTGCTAACAGACTTGAACCTGTGCCTCCTGGCTGCAGGTCCCAGGGAGATTTTAAGTGACAGCTCCTGGAAAGGCAGCGTCCTGGCCTCTTATCATGTAATGAGACGACAGGCCAGCAGCTGCACAGTGACTGGGACAAGCTCTGGCGTCAGAGCAGCCTTGGGTCCCCACTGTTCCATTTACTGTGTGATCTCAGGCAGTGATTTCACTGTCCTGTGCCTTGTTTTCCTCATCTGTGAAAGGGGCAGATGGGAGGATTACCCGAGGCCCTGCCCCTGCACTCTTCCTCCTTGAAAGCACCCAGTACTTTCAAGGAAGGGGGGGAAGCGGTTAGTTGACAGCCTTCTCCGACGGGGTCGCAGGGTCTGGCTGGTGATCCATCTAAGGTGTTCGTGAGACACGTACATGCTCAGCAAGTGAGGAGACCTTTGCTCCGAGAGCCCCTGCTGCTTTCATTCCTAACCTCGGACCTCCCAGGGTCCAGCAGCCCCAGGTGTGTGGTCTTAGCAGGGCCACCCACCCTTCAGGTGTGGGTTCCACGAAGTTCCAGGGGCCGTTGTGTGTCCGTGAGCAGCACTGGCTGAGGGGGGGGGAGGGGCCAGATGGGATCCCTGCTCTCTTCATCTGCCCCCTTCGGACCCCAGCCATGCACCATTTACCCTCCACAAGCAGCAACAATGATTATGAGCCATTGATAAGTGGATAGAAATAGTGTTCTGTGGGGGGAGGGGGGTTTGTGGCCCCTGACAGCATTATCAGTATCACCTGTAAATTTAGCATCACGTGTATGCCAGGTCTTGGCCACCAAGGCAGCTCTGCTAATATTCTTCTGGAGCCTACACGTCTTGCAGAAGCTGCTTGACCATAGAAACAAAGAATATTGCCTGTCAGACAGGCCTGGGTGACCTTCGGCAAGTTTCTCACCAGCCTCAGCGTCCTCATCAGCTAAATGGGGCTAAGGATAGTACCGACCCCCAGGGAGGGTTAACTGGGATTGCACGGCGAAGCTCCTAGTCCAGTGCCTGGCAATGGGGCAGAGGAGCCAGCCCTGCTGGCAGAGGGTGACCGAGGCTGCTTCTGTCTTTCAGCGGCTCCAACAGGAGCTGGGGCTGGGCCGTGGCAGGGGGCAGCAGCATCCTGGCGGAGTTTGGATCCCTGCACTTGGAGTTCTTACACCTCACCCAGCTCTCTGGCAACCAGGTCTTCGCAGAAAAGGCAAGTCTTCTCCCCTGCTCCCTCTTCTCCACACGGAGAGCGAAGGGTGGGCACTCGGCCCGTGACGGGGAAATGGACCGCGGGCCAGCTGGAGGGTGTGTGGGGAGCCCGAAGGCCTCCAGCCACTGCCAGCATAGCAGATAGTTGCCTAATCGTAACCGATGCCAGGCGCCAGGGAAGGTGAGTGCAGGGAGTCAGCAGCATTCTACAGAGGGCGCGGCAGAGACATAGCTGCCAGCGAGAAGGTTTTCCCTGGTACATGTGCGCCCGCTGGCAACCACACACGTGTGAAATCCGGAGAAAGTGCAACAACGGAAATCCAGGCACCAGTTTGCGTTGGCAGGAATTGGCCACCCGGCACAAAAGTCCCCTTTCCAGAGACATTTAACTTCTTCGAGTGAGATCTGCCTGCCTTTCCCCTTCCAGATGCCCATCTAGCACATGCTGTCAGCAGGCTGGCAAAGCAATTTCACTCCACAGCAGAGGCTCACGTCTGTTCCTTCTCGTCGTTTCCAGGCTGGCGAAGGCCACAAGGGGCTCAGAGCGCTAGCACCCAGGCCTTCGTCCATCCTGACAGCTGCCCATCCCTGCCCTGCTGTGAAGCCCTCCAGAAGGAGCGTTCCTCAGTGTCACAGCCCTTGGCAGTCCTACTGTCTGCAAGTGTCTCCGTAGGTCTAACCCTCAACCCGAGGAAGAGAAGTGGACACACACCACCCTCAGATGGTGCTTGCCCCTTCCTGAGTCCTGCCCCTATAGGGAGATGAAGCCCTGGCCTCCAGGAAGAAGGAGACCCCCACTCCCAAAGCCTTCTCTTCCCCCCAGATGTTAGTCTCTCGGAACGCCAAGGGAGCTGGGAGGTCACAGAGTCACACCTCTACCCAGTGGCTCTCAGTCTTTTGTCAGCCGACCAGCCCCAAAGCATCATCTAGCATGCTGGTGAAGAAGCGGATTTCTGAGTGTCGCCCCAGGCCCAGGAGTCTGTATTTGAAATAAGCCCCCATGTGCTCTTTGATGCCAGGTTTAGGACCACTGCTTGCTCAGTGTGGGAATCCACCCGAGCTTTCTTGAGAAGCTCAAAGAAGAGCTTTCAACCCCTTGATTGCTTCCTCTGCACTGGGGCTCACTACCAGCCTCAAACAGCCCCTCGTGTTGTCAGACCTCCCTCCAGAAGCTCTTCCTTATATTGAGAGGACTCTGCCTCCCTGGGATACCCCACCTCAAGAGCTCATGGAATAAATTCAATCCCACTTCCGATGGGTCTTCTCCTCTGGTCTTTTTTCCTGCCTCCAGGCCCTCCCTGCCCCCAGCCTCCCTATTTCCACTGCTCTTGAGCCAGACCCCTCTAGGAACACCACGGCCGGCTCAGAGCGGAGTGAGACGAGCAGCTTGCTCTAGTTCCTGCTAGTCTGGAGATACCACTGCCTGAGCACCTACGATGTGCTGGGTACCGTATAGGAGCTCTGATTTTCCCACCAACCCTATGAGGCCAGTTCCCCATTTTACAGAGGAGGAAACAGACTCAGAGAGGTTAAATCACTTGTCCTGGGTCATCCCCATTTTACAGAGGAGGAAACTGAGACTCAGAGAGGTTAAATCACTTGTCCTGGGTCATCCAGCTGGTAAGGGATAAAGCCGAGACTCAAACCCAGGACTTTCTGGCTCTGGAACCCACGATCTTCGAGACCAGATCAGTTCAGCAGGCTTCCGGATTTTTCTCAAGGGTCCATCCACTTCATTGTCTCTCTGTGTCTTTACATTTACATTCTCCAGCTGCTTTCATCCGCCAGTCATTGCCTCCCACAGAGGCGATTATTGGCAGTCAACAAATTGGCCCAAATTCTAGAAGCGCCCGCACCCTCCGGGGGAGCTAATTTAGCCCGTTTCACTGCTCACCACAAGGACAGTCGAGAATAACTCGGGTACAAGCACATTCCTGTCCGCCATAATGGGCTCCGTTAACATAAATGGATATGAGATCTGATGTGGCAAAGCAAAGTGCCGTCCCCCGGAAAGAAAGGTCTGACAGCTAAAAGGCTGCTTTCCCTGCTCCTTACCTTGTAGGTAAATCTGTGAGCGTGCTACAGCTCCATCCCCGAGGGCCCTTCTGTCCTGCAGAGTCTGTGCTGGGAGGATTTCATGTACCGCCAGACAGCAGACCCTGATGGATCAAGCCTTCCTGAATCCCGCATTGTGCCCTTTGTAGCCCCAAAGGTTGCAGATCCAGCCTCCTGATCCAGCGGGTGTGGCCTCTGCTACTCGCTGCTGCGTGGTCCCTGCCCTGATCCGTGTTGGAGCCGGGGCTGCTCCCTGTGGTCAGAGGGGCCTGACTCACGTCCTGGCTCTGCCACTTACAAACCCCGTGACCATGGGCAAGTGACTGACGCTCTCTGAGATCCGGCTTTCGCGTCTGTTAGACTGAGATAATAATACCGTATAGGTTGTTATGAGGGTTGGAGATAATGTATCTAATGGGTCTGGCTCACAGCAACTGAGAAACGTTGACAGCGTTGTAGCGTTGTAGCTGTTGTTAAGAAAACCCCGAGATGCCTATTAGGGTACAGGGATGTTGAGGGGCGCAGGCCTCCCCTCTGGAACGGTTCCCACAGTATCTGATAACATAACATGTTACCAAGCTGAACCGTGTGAAATTGCCAATATAACCGTTTCTGACCTGTTAAAAAGACAGTTCTGTCTAGCACTTACAAATGAGCTACTGTCACTTATACGAACGCCCTCCTCAAAAGACCCGTCCCCAAAATCCACACGCAATGAGGAAGGGGTGAGGTGGGGGAGGGGCAAGTGGCAGGGCCCCGGGCAGAGCAGTCAGCGCAGAGGTGGAGGGTCAGGCCCCACTGTGGCCGCACCCCGCCCTTGAACACAGGGGCAGGACCGCCTCACACCCCCGGGTTGGAGCCGGCTGCTAGTTACACAGCTCTCCCTTCCTGCCTCGTCGGAATGGTTTCCTCTCTGGACCAGAACCAGCTGCCTCAGTCCTCAGTGGGCTGGGACCCAGCTGGCTTCTTGGAGAGAATGAAGACGTGCCTGGTGTCCATCTCTTGGCAGGTCAGGAACATCCGAAAGGTCCTTAGGGATATTGACAAGCCCTTCGGCCTCTACCCCAACTTCCTCAGCCCGGTGAGCGGGAACTGGATGCAACGTGAGTACAGGGGCGCCGCTGCCCCTCCTCCAGCGGATTCCTGCCCAGCTTCCCGGCCTGGCTGGGCGAGGCACCCAGCTGAGTGAGGAGCCACGTACCAGCAAGGCATTGGCTCGGAGCTCCTGGATGCCACCCTCCTGCCACCCTCGGGGCATCGTGGGGAGTGTTCGTTTCTGTTGCCATTGCTGTTGTGACGGATGTGGTGGCTGCTGGCTAGTGAGGCCCTGCCCTGTGCGTCCCCCGCATGCTAGCTGTCTCCAGCCTTCCGTCTCTTACAGTGCCCACCGAAACCTCCTTCATCCTCCCCCAGACTTGCAGGGGTGCTCCCGTTAGATGTTTACTCCAAAAGCAGCTCTAAGAAAGGCCATGCATCCTCTCCCAGCCCCTTTCATCTGGTTCCCTACCTCCAACTTTAATTTCTTAAAAAATGTGTAAGCAGACCCTAACTATACAGCCATATAAAAATCAGGAATTCATCACTGGTATCTTACACCTGTTAGAATTGGCCCTAGGATTTCCTGCTGTTTATGTTCAGAGGCTTTTTTTTTTCAGCCAGACAGTTGTGGGTCACCTTTGGAGCCTCATTCGCAGCCCCCAGCTCCACCCACTGAAACAATGGGATTTGAAGGTCTCTCAGGCAGGGGAGTGTTAAAGTCTTCCACCTCCTGGGATTGCACCCCTATCGAGAAGCACTGCTCTGCCTTGCCCTTCTGTCCGAGGCCCTGGTTGTGTGATCACAGTCAGCACAAATTGGGGGCAGCAGGTTCCGTGGGCCCTGCCTCTAGGGGCTTCCCAAGACTTGCCCAGAGCCCCTACCTCCACTGCCTCTACGCAAAAAAGGACCCCTCTCCCTTTTCCTGCCTCCAGCCCCAATTGTTATGGCATTAGCAAGGGCTCAGCGACAAAGTAGACCTGAGTCTAATTACTGCATGCCTGAATCTTCATCCCTTGGAGCTTTGGTTTCCTCTCCTGCAAAATGGGAGAAGAGCTGGAGATGTGTTCTTTGTGCACCGTAGAGGGGCGTGGGAGCAATGGTCAGAAGCTGCAGGAAACAGACTTCAGTTCATCTTCCAAAGATGACATGGGTTGTCCCAAATGGTCATGAGCGCCCATCACCAAAAGTATGCAAGCAGGGCCTGGAGGGCCAGCTGGCCAGCCGGCAGGGATACTGTGAGGAAACTGCAGAGGCCTGTCCTTCCATCCCAGAGCCTCCATGATCCACATCCAGGAGACCCAGAAAGTTCGACCGGGGAATTTTCCTTGGTGATGACCTCACTCCCCAGGAGCCTCCTGCAAAAACCACTTACAGAAATGCAAAGTTTTTTTGTTTTGTTTTGTTTTGTTTTGTTTTTTGTAGTATGCGGGCCTCTCACTGTTGCGGCCTCTCCCGTTGCGGAGCACAGGCTCCGGACGCGCAGGCTCAGCGGCCATGGCTCACTGGGCCCAGCCGCTCTGCAGCATGTGGGATCTTCCCGGACCGGGGCACGAACCCATGTCCCCTGCATCGGCAGACAGACTCTCAACCACTGCGCCACCAGGGAAGCCCAGAAATGCAAAGTATTTTTAACCAAAACACACTGCCAAATTCAAAAGTGCCGGGAGAAAATGAAGGTTTGAATTACAGATTATGGCCATGGGAAGAGACAGTTCAATAACCGTTCCTGCCTTTAATTGCAAGGCCTGACTGGGTAAAGAGATAAACTAAGCAGCTGCCCGCCTTAGCTGCTCCAGGACAATGCAGCAAAACCCATAAAAAGAAGGAGAGGGGCGTGCTTCCCAGTCTGAATAGCTACCTTGGCAAATTACAGGGGAGCCGCCCCCCTCTTCCCCTTCCCCGCTGAGAAGCATAATTTTCTTTTCAGGCTGCACCTGGGGTCGCAAGGCCGGGCAGAGTCAGTCACATATGGAAAATTGTCTCATATTAATAAAATATGAATCGCAGGCCTGCCAAATTTCAGAGGGAAGGTTATAAAGAAAGCCCTGATCACCGGGGTGCCTGCTTTCCTCCTCCCCTGGCTTTGGCGCCTGGGGTCATCCCAGGTTTTCTGTGGTTTCCTTGGGTGTTTTGGTCTGTTTTTGTCTTTTTAGTATTTTTTGTTTTTGTTCTTGTTTTTTGATGATTGTGTAATTTTCCAGCAAATGATAACATTCCCCACTTGCATAAGCTAAGTTCACATTCTTTTCTCTCCTGGAATCCTCTTCGTAGCCCATTGCAACCAGAGGAATTGCCCCTTAAAGAGACAAAGGGCTAATGAGGGCTGCATCCCAGTCCCAGACCTCTGCTCTCACCTGCTCCCCACTCCTGCCTGAAGCTCAGCTTCAGGGTAGCCGGGGAGGCTGAGACTCTCCTGCCGCTAGGACTGCACAGCCAGGATAGGTCCAGCAGGCACAGAAGAGACCAGTCCTAGCAGAGCCGCTGAGAGCTCGAAGAGCTGCCAGCCCTTTGGCTTGGCCCCTGGCGTGGCTCGTCCTCCTTGTCCACTGCCCGAATCCCACACTTTCCTCAGCGGGCGGGAAGTGGCAAGTCCAGGTTCTCTCCCGTGGCTGTGGGAGTGTGAGCTGCCCGCCAGCTCCACCCCGGCCACCTCCCCCAGCTTCATGCCACTTTCCCGCCAGCGATTCCCAGGCGTATAGGGTGGCTGCCTCCTGCTGCCAAGTGTGGTGGGCGCGTTGTTGACACAATCAGGAAGCAGCAGAACCCATCTCTGCTCACGCACACCAACTCTCCCTTCTACATTTTACAGATCAGGAGACAGGCCCAGGGGCTCTGGCCTGCCCTGAGCTAATGATGGATCCACGTCTCTAATTCCCACTCCTGCACTTCTCCCCACGTGCCCCTCGGTGCGGGGAAGACACCCCCCACCTGTGCACTGCAGCTGAGGCCCCGGGAGACTACACACATGTCCCCAAGAGGGTGTCCTATCTCAAACACCTGTGGAACTCCTGCTGACCTGGCTCCCGTCTCCCGCGCACACCTGCCAGGTGAAGCCCTTGACCTTGTCCCTCACACACACTCTGCAATCACATGGTGAAGTCCAGTCTCTTTGGCTTTGACGTTCAAGGCTCTTCTGAGCACAGCCCCCACATGCCTGCCTTTCTCTCATTCAGGACTTACTGGGCGTCTGCAGTGTGCCACACAGGTATTGGGCATAGATGCGAGTCATACAGGGTCCCTCCCCACACAGCCCACAGCCTAGCGGGGGAGGTAGACCCACAAACAGGTACCGATGACACAGCGCTGGGAGCCGCTGAGGGCAAGGCTCGCACCTAGCGACGGTGGGACAGCTGCTCCAAGCACTTCCCGCAGGAGGGCGCTGGGCCAGAGGGTGCAGGTGCCTTATTTCCCTCACATCACCCTGCAGGGACCTCAATGTTATGGGGACACAGAGGAAAGCCCTTCCGAGCTGAGGTGAAGCAGTGAGGGGGTGTCAGCCACACAAGGTAGGGAAGGGTATTCCTGGCAGAGGGGTCATCACATGTGAGACAGAGTGGGCAGGGGGCTAGCAGTGTTTGGGGTGGCAGAGGAGCCGTGAGAGGAGGCAAGCCCAGGAGATGAGCGTGGAGGTGCCCGTGCCCCCGGCTGAGTGCCATGAGCGGGGGCCCCTTCTGTGCAGGCTGCCCCGGTCTGAATTCCGGCCTCCCCACCCCTGCCTTGCACAGACCTCGCGCCCCGGCCGTGGACACACCATCCACATGCCGGGCCTGGCACAGCCCTGCCCTCCCTCTGGGCTTGCCCAGCTGTGTCCTCCCCCTGGGAACAGGGGCAAGGGGGACGCTGTGCTGGTTCCGTCTTTTCAGGTAACAAAGTCCAGCCCACGCTGGTCCCCCCCGCACGTCTCCCTAAGCCTCAGGCTTTACCTGGTCTGTTCGCATTTTCACTAGTGCTCCTTCCGTTCCTGAACCCTTGCTGGGCCGGGGCTTGTTTACGGAGGGGGCTGGAGGGGGCCCCTGTTTACTGTGGGGGCCTCCTGTCAGCCCCCTTTCCTGGTTCCCAGCTGTCTGACCCTCTGATTTTTGATCTGACCCTCCCTCTTCCCACTTGCCCTTTCTTTCTCTCTGCATCTTTGTTTTCATTCTCTGGTTGACTGTGTAAACCTGCAGAAAGTGAGAGCTCTACCAGCTCGGTGGCTTTGGCCGAGCTATTTAGGCTCACTCTCAGTTTTCCCATCTGGGAAATGGGGTTCGTAGTGCTTACCTTATAGGGTTCTTGGGAAGATTGTTATAAATGATACAGTAAAGCTCCCGGCCCACAGTAGACCCTCGATAAAGGGTAGCTGTTGCTGTATTCTCTATTTCTTTCTCTCTCCCCCCACCCACTTTCCCTCCCCTGTCTTCTTCTAACCCCTCTTTCTCCAGAGGAGCTGAAAATCCTCTTCCCATCTCCCCCACCCCGCCTTCCTCCACCCCCTTCCCTTCCTCACTGTCTTGCTGCTTAACAGGGAGCCGCAGTTTTCTCCTTGTTTTATCTATTAAACGCCTTTGTGTTTCCCTGTTGTTAATTGTGATTGAAGCACCGCCGTGTCTTGCTTCTGTAATTAAGTGCTCCTCTGTCAGCCATCCCTCTCCTGGGGTAGCCCTGGGTGGAGACACCTGCCCGTTCAGCCACACCTGGAGTTCCTCCTCCACCAGGGCGGACGGAGGGCTCCTCAAACCCAGTTTTCCTTCCCTCTGCTCCTTTGAACCCCATTTATCCCAATTTGCTAAATTTAAACTTGGCTTTCCCAGAACAGCTTTGTGCTCTGACCAACTAAATTAAGCCTCTCGTTGCTCCTTTCCGTGGCCTTTTATGAACCTGCCCAGCATTAATTACCATGTTTGTCACCAGGTAATAAAAATCTCTGAACTCCCTGCCACCAGATTATCTTTTTCAAGAAATGCAACCCATTTACGGTTAATAACCAGAGACCCTGCCCCATCCTCCGCCTGCAAAAGCAACACGATGACATGATTTATAGCAGCCAAAGGAGCCCCTGCATTTCCATGAGGGACGATGGTGCTCAAGCTGGCCCTGGCTCCCCCGGTCGCAGGCCATGCCTTCCTCCCAGCCCCCCTTCTGTCGGGGGCTCCGAGGCTGCGGATTAAATGCTCGCTCCCCACCGAGTCGCGGCGGCCTCAGCAGGTGGAGATAATGTTCCTGTCCTCTCTCCCCTCACAGACCATGTCTCGGTTGGAGGACTCGGGGACAGTTTTTACGAATATTTGATCAAATCCTGGCTGATGTCGGCCAAGACAGATATGGAGGCTAAAGATATGTACTACGAAGCCTTGGAGGTAAGACAGGCGCCTGATTCTTCATGGGTGGTCAGTCACTCGCCACCAGTTCCCACGTGGGTTCCTGAGAGCCGGAGGGCTTGCTCCCCACCACACCCCTACGGTGAACTGTCCTCCCAGAGGGAGGACAAGACAGTCCCCTCCCCAGCCTGTTGCTTGACTCTTCTCAAACACCTTGAAATTAGGGCCGTGTGAGCATCCTCATTTCACAGATGCAAAACCCAAGCTCAAGGAGGTGAAGTCATTTGTCCGAGGTCTCACAGGAAGCAGCAGGCAGTCTGATTCAGCAACCACGGTGTCTGTGTTTCTGTTGATGTGTCAGAGCCCAGAACACAGCCAGACTAGGAGCCCCCAAGCGAGGCTGCCAAAGCAGGACCCTCGGCCATCTTCCTGTGGAACCAGAGGTGACATACTTAGCACATCCCGGCTGGGAGGGGCCTCCCTCAGTGGAGCACCCACTTCTCTTCCTTCTCTTTATGTGGATGGAAACCAAGGCCCAGAGAGGGGAAGGCACTTGCTCAAAGCCACACAGCACAGAACTGGCAGAGCTGGAGCTAGAGCCAGGTCTCCAAAGCCAGCCGCCAGGTTCTCCCCACTGTCCCTCAGCTCTGCTGGTCTGTCTACAGGGCATGGAGTGAACAGGGATGCTAAGCTCAGATGGGTCCCTCCAAAGAGGCGGAGACTGTAGGACAGAGGGGGAGTCGGTTAGAATCCCAGCAGCCCCATCAATAGATACCTTTGAGCCCAACTAAAGAAAAGGCACTGGGCAGGCTCCGGGCCTCAGTTTCCTCATCAAGTACGTTGAGCAGGTTGGATCTATTCTGCTACCGCCGTGGTCTAAGCTAACTGGATTCCTCGCTCCAGCCCTCCCCACTCTAAGTCAGTTCTTCCGCAGCAGCCAGAGTAGCTGTAAGTGCACGTCCCTCCGCTCATGACTCCCTTAGCTCTCGGAATAAACCAGACTCCTCACCTTTGCCCGCAGTCCCTGATCTGGGACTGCCAGTCACTCTGAGCTCTCTCCCTTTTGCCCTCTGAGCTCTCGTTCCCACCTCAGGGCTTCCGTACCTGCTGTTCCTTCTCCCTGGAGTATCATCCAGGTGGCTGGGTCCTGCTTATTGGTCAACTCAGATGCCACTGAATTAGCCTTCCCCAGCGTCTCTCTCTCTCACATACCTGAGGCGTATTATTATCAGCGTCTAAAATGATCACGTGTGTATCTGTTTACTTGTTTATTGTCTATCTTCCTGAGCTGTCTAGAGCAAGGATTTTGTCTACTCATTCACTGTATACGTCACTCCCAAAACAGTGCTTGGTACCTGGGAGGCATACAGTCACTATTTTGTGAACAAATAAATGGATGAGGGGAAGGCAGGAAGGAAGGGAGGGAGGGAGGGAGAGGGGATGGAAAGATGAGTGGGTAGGTGAACACGTGGATGATTGAATGGATGGACGGGTGGGTGGGAGGATGGATGGGTAGGTGGATATGGTGGATAGGTGGGTAGATATGGGTGGATGGGTGGGTGTGGGCAGCAGACTGGATGGATGAATGATATCTAGCTACACTCTGATCACATGAATCCGGCCAGGAATGGTAGTCCTTAAAGGAGGCACATTGGAACAGGCCTCCGGAGCCGTGGGTCCTTTAAACTGTGGGCTCAGTAATGAGTTTTCCCTGCCCAGCTCCCTGGCACCAAGACCTGAGTCATGAAGCAGGTCCCAGGATTCCAGTCCCAGCTCAGTCTGGCTCAGCCCCGTCCACTCCAGGCTTCTGAGCGGAGCTTCCACTGCAGCCTGCGGCTCCTGGCAAGGATTAGCGGTCAGGTTCAGCGGTGGCCAGGTGTGCTGCCTGGAGAGGCCCTTTCTGCCCTTGCTGCCTTTCTTGCAGAGTAAACATAGAGTTCACGAGCAGCCCAGTTCCTAGCCCTCAGGGAACACTGTAGCTGAGGCTTCAAGGGAAGAAATGGCCATAAATTATTTAAGCAAACGGGGAGTTTTATAGAAGTGCTCGATTGAACAGGCTAGAACTCAGCTTTGCTCCCACCTTTTATCTCCCCAGTGAAAAGCCTGAAGTGTCTCTGACCCTGGGTAAAGGCTGGGCCTCTGGCAAGTTTGGGGCTTTGAAGAATGTTCTGGTGGTTGTCAGCCTTGTTGGCATGTTAAAAACCACCTGGGGAGCTGTAAAACCCCAATGCCCAGGCTGCACCCCAACAAGGTGACATCAGAACCTCTGGGCTGGGGCCCAGGCCATAGCCTTGAAAGCTTCCCTGGGGGCTCCAGTATGTGGGTTAGACCAGTGTCCAGCTAGGGTGGGTGTGAGGGCTTCAGACAGATCAGCTGGGCACACCCGGGGTCACGGAGGAGGGGCAGCAAGAAGAACAGGCAGCTTCTGTCCCTGCGGCCTCCTCCAGGCAGGTGCGCTGGGTGCCTGGCCTTAGTTAGCCCCTTCTCGCAGATGATGAAACTGAGGCTCTGAAAGGCCCAGGGTCACCCGGCAACACGGCAGAGCCAAGACGCAAACACGGTCTCGCTGACTCTGGATCCAGGGCCCCTGCCTCTGCTCACCAGCTGGCGAATTGCTGGGGAGCCTGGCTGGCCCGAAGGCCCTCTCAGAAGTGCGCAGATGGGGTGCCCTCCAGGAGGTAGAGGAAGGAACCGTCAGTGCCAGGCGCTTAGCCAGCGTCTTTGAGTAGCTTCATAACCATCCCAGGAATTATTATTCCCGTTTTACAGTTGAGGAAAGGGAGTCTTCAGCAAAGGGAAGTAACTTGCCCAAAGTCACCCAACTCTCAAATTGCAGAGCTGGGATTCAAACTCAGCTCTCTACTATGTCTCTTGCTATGATTTTAGCCTTTTTACCAGTCGGTTGCCCGACCGTGCTATCTTGTGTTTTGCTAAGGGTTTTAGAAAGGCTTGGGGCTTTTGTTTTTTACCTTTGCGTTTGCTTGTCTAAATTATATCCTCAAAGAGAGACTGGCCTATCATTTCCTCTTTACCACAACTACTTAGCCTGGGGTTAACCCCAAATAGAAATAACCAGTGGGAGACAGTCTTGAAGGTACAGGTTTCCAGCTACAGTGTGAAGCTTCCTGGGATCTCCCGGGATGTCTGTGTCCTCTCCCCAGTGCTGGCAGTGATAACTGAACCAGGTTTCTGTGCCCGGGACTAGCCCTGCCACCCCTCCCGCACCAGCACCCTTAGCGACGCAGAGCAGCTACCGTGGACCCAGCTCTGCCCAGGAGCCAGGGCCCGGCCCGGACGCGGCAGCCCTCCAGGCTGCCTCCGTGCTCCTCCCCACAGGGAGCAGATGCCTTGGCGCGCCAGTCGCTTCATCAGAGCTTCCCCATCTGCTGCTCAGTGAGGGTCCTGCAGGTAGCCCACCGGCCTGGGCCTTACAGCAGAGGGCAAAGGACAAGACAGATCGAGGAACGAATGTTGTTTGAGCACCTCCCACATGCCAGGCACTGGCTGGAGGATGGTAGTGGTGGCTTCTGCCGTCACCTGGCACTCAGAGTCCTGGGACAAAGGCAGACGTTCCACAGAAATATATACACATAGGCGCACACAGGTGGGAACGACACCTCGTAGAAAGATAACAGGGTAGCAGCGTAATGGGGCCACAATGGTTTAGACCAAGGAAGAGGCATCCTGGAGGGGCTCAGACGCAGAGCTAGAGGTAGCAGAGCTGGGATGGGATCTTGGGGGAGAAGCAGTAGTTGCCGCAAAGCCCCGAGGCAGGAAGAAAAGGTCTTTGTGGAGGTCACCAGCGCAGAGACCTTCTCTGGCCTCACTCCGCAAAGTAGGACCTCCTCCCCGAGCTTTTTTCTGCCTCGTCCCCTTAATTTGTTTCATTCAGAATGTTGATCACAAATTGGGATTCTCGGGTGTATTTGCTTTTGTTGGGACGTCTCTGTGCCCACGGGTGAGCTCCCTGAGTCCAGGTCCAGACCCATCTTCAGGGCTGTGTTCCCTGCACGGAGCACAGTGCTGGCACCAAGAGGCGCTCACGAAATGTTCACTGGGGGAGGGGGCACAGGAATGAAACGAGGCCTGCGGCGTGGCTGGAGCGGGGACAGGGGCGGGGGCCGACTGGAGAGGAATCATAATAGCCAGCACTTATTGAGCCTCTCTGTGCGAAGAAATATACGCTAAGCTCTGCAGACACATCCCGCTGAATCCTCACAGCCCTGTGAAGTGGTTCATGCTCTCATCCCCATATTATACGTGAGGAAATTGAGGCACAGAGAGAACATAGAACCTGCGCAATGTCACACAGCTCGGAACTGGTGGAGGCGGGGTTTGAACCAGAGTCTACACCCGGGAGCCATGTCCGTGGCATCAGGTTAAACCTCAGGGTGTACATCAGGGAGTCTCGGAGGCCCTGCTGGACTTTCGTCTGAGGGCACTTGGAAACCATGGGAGGGCATTAAACAGGCCCAAGACGCAGTCAGGACCAGTACGTACAGAGTGCACCCCACCGCCCGCCCACCCCAGAGGATAGACGGGAGGGCAAGAGTGGAGGCAGAGGCCTGGCCAGGGCCCCAGAGGCTCCGCCCTGGATTAGGACCCATGGAGTCCAGCCTTGCAGCTGTGTGGGTGGCTGCCGCCATCACCTCAGTCTCCACGGCTCCCAAGGGACTAACGGCAGGCAGTCAGGGGCGCGATGGCCTGACACCTACACCCCCCAACATCCTGGGAGTCCTTCCCAACAGCATCACCTCTTGGGGGACCAGGGGAGGGCTCTGAAAGCCCCTTGCCACCAAAAGGAGCAGACATTGGGTAATGGAAGGAGCCGGGCTTGCACATCGGGGGGTCCTTGTCTTGACCGTGGTGTGGTGGGTGACCTGGGACACGCCACTCAACCCCTGTGTCTAGGGAGAGCAGTACAGCCCATGTGCCTGGCTTTTTGTGAGCATTAAATGAGGAAGCCTGTGGTAAGGGCCTGTAGAGGGCAGCTGTTACTGTCTATGGTCCTTTTTGAGAATCTGATCAAATATTACTGACCCTCTTCCCATGACAATGCCCTGAAGTGTCACCTACAATTCTAGGGGCACTCTGGACCCCTTCCAGCCCATCCACAGGCCAGCTGGGCTTCAGGTTAAGATTCCCTAACAGAGGATATAATGGAGATGGATAATAATTTTTAAAGATTTTTTTTTCCAAAAATTTTTTGAATGTAGAAGTTTTAAAAGTCTGTGTAAGAGACTGGCCCTGGGGAGCTGCCTTGTGTCCCAGCCCCCCAGCAAGCACCAGGCCTCAGCTGGGTGAGTGGCAGAACCTCCCACCAGCCCCATCAGGGACCGCCCCCAGCCAAGGCCGGCAGGCCTCCTTTGTCTGGGATGGAGGGCTCGACAGAGCTGCGCTTGCTGCCTCTCCAAAATGTTCACTTTCCGTCCTCTCCCTTCCCTTCTCTGTACCCTCCCACGCCCTTCCTCCCCGCCCAATTCCCACCTTGCTCCCAGGCAATAGAGACCCACTTGCTGAATGTCTCTCCCGGGGGGCTGACCTACATTGCTGAGTGGCGAGGGGGGATTCTGGACCACAAGATGGGGCACCTGGCCTGTTTCTCCGGGGGCATGATCGCCCTCGGCGCTGAGGATGCCAAGGAAGAAAAGAGGGCCCACTACCGGGAGCTCGCAGCCCAGATCACCAAGACGTGCCACGAATCGTACGCCCGCTCAGGTAACCCTGCAAGGGGAAGGGGCTGCAGGAAAGACTGAGGCTAGACGCCAGGAAGAACTGGAAAGACCAGGAGAGTGGCAGTGAGTGAAGGGCACACACGGACTTAGGGAAGCCTCACCTTGGAGGTTACCCGGAATTTGAATGAGGGGTGCGCTATACACACACAGAGACTGTGCCCTCAGTTAGAGGGAACACGGTGCTGTGTTAGCACTTTGTGTGTGCCGGGTGTCATTCAGCACTGGACATACATCATCGCTGACCCTCACAACACAGATGAGGAAACTGAGGCTCAGAGATGACCCGGCCAAGTTCCCATGGAAGGGGCTCAGAGCAGAGGGTCCTCCAGCCCCTGAGGCAGAAACATTAGCTTCCTGAGCCTTTAGCAAATTCCTTCTCCCTGAGCCCCTACCCCTAAACGTATCTCTGCCTTTCCTCCCTGGAACGCTCCCATTCAGAGGGTCTCACCACCTCCTGGCACCACCCCATAATCACCCTCTGATCCAAGACCCCCGGAAAGCTTGAGAGCTTCTGCACCATCCGCGCCAGCACTCACCGCAGCACTGTCAAACGCTAGACTCAGAAGCCACATGAGAGAATGTGAACCCAGCTCCTCATTTTACATGCAGGGAAACTGAGTCAGCCCAGAGCGGGGACCTGGCTTAGCCAAAGCCACACCGTGTATGAGTAGCTAAGCCGGGGCTAGAACCCAGGTCTCCTGATGCCCAGCCCCATCTTGTGTGCTGCCTTTCTAAACAACACCCCTCAGAAAAAGCCCCGGGCCCCCCTGACCCCAGAAGGGGCCCACCGCTCTGAGTTGTAAACCCAGCCTTGGTTGGAGGAGAGGACCTAAGATCTGCAGTAAAAGATCTTGGCTCAAATGCCACTCTGCCGCTCAGCAGCTGGTGACCTCTGTTTTCTCATCTGTTCGATGGGAACAATAACACAGGTCTCCTGGGCCCCACAGGAAGTGCTTGGCCCACGCCTTCAGCCAGCAGCATGGGAGGCGTTTGTTAGCAGTCCACCGAAAACGTGTCTGTGAGCGCGCCAGTGGAATCCAGAGCTCCTGGAGCTGTTTTCAGGAAGCCAGCAATTCGCAGTGGGTCCTTAAAACCGGTCTTCAATTCCCTTCAAAGAGCTCTGCCAGCACCACAAACAAATAGGAAATCTCAGGAATAATAAAAGCTTGCTATTTGTCGGGGACAATCAGCCCAGACCATAAAAGGCAGTCGCTTAGTAAAGCATGTTGTTACAACCAGCCCGGCTCGTCCACGGATGGCTGCAGCAATCGCTCTTGCCCTCACCCCATTAGCAGCTTGGCGAAACGGCTGTGTTCTGATGGCCAAGAGCAGCTGTGCCATCTGAGAGGATCAGAGGAGCCAGGATCTGCCTAATTCCTCTTCCATGAAGCCCTCCATGAATGAGTAGGCTGTCCTGCAAAGCTCCAATATGTCTCTGAGAAAAAGCAGCCCAGGGCCTCTTGGGGTCCTGAGCCCTAATGGGAGGTGGGGGGCCCACATTAGGACCAGAGCTGGGCCCTCCGCTGACCTGACAGGATATGCAGGCATTAAAGGGAGGATGGATCTGACCCACATACCCTAAATTTTGGACCTAAAGAGTCAGACCCAGGGGAGAAAGAGAGAGAGGACAGCCTGGGGAGAGGGCATCAGACAGATCCAGGGTCACATCCCAGCTCGGCCACAACTTGCTGTGTTACCTTGGACAAATTACATAGCCTCTCTGATCCTCAGTTTCCACATGTGCGAGAGGCAGGTAAAAGTATCTGCCTTACCAAAACAACATTTTTTAAGGATTGCAATAAATGTGTGTAAAGCACCCAGCACAGCCCTTGAACTCCTAAATGGTGGCTGCAGTGGTGGCTATAATGGTGGTCATCCAGAAAACAGGAACAGCAGCAAACTGACCGAAACCAAACAATGACAACAAAACCCAGACCTCGTCAGGCCTTCTTTATTCAGCTCCCTCTGCCTGAATACGTGCCTTCTGGGCGAATCTTCCCTCACCTCCACCTCAGCAGTCTCCCAAACTGTCAGCTCTGGAAGGCTGGTTCTGGGACGTGTCAAAAGCAGTTCCCAGAGAAAGGGGGTCTGTGGAGAAGCATCATGGCAATATTAGCAAATTAAAGGGTCTGGTAAGTCCTGTAGACAGGAGGCTCTCACTCTGTCTAACCCACTGTTCCCCAAATGTGCTTAAAACTCCAACCCCTTCTTGGCCGAGCACTGGTTAACACCCTGCAGGGCTAATGTCTCACCCAAACGTTTGTCTCCCCGGACTGCTGGGAAGTTCATTTGGATTCTCAGGGTCTAAACTGCAGACGTTTCGCGGCCTAAGGGCGTTGCTTTGGCCAGCCCATGCCAGCCCATCACCAGCCGGCCCCGGCCAGGGCTACCACGCCACTTCCGTCTCTCCTGGGGCACTGGGATCCCGAAGAGCAGGAGGTCTGACCCAGGCCCCCTGGTTGGTCATTCCTGCAGATACCAAACTGGGGCCCGAAGCCTTCTGGTTTAACTCAGGCAGAGAGGCCGTGGCCACGCAGACGAGCGAGAGCTACTACATCCTGCGGCCCGAGGTGGTGGAGAGTTACATGTACCTGTGGCGGCAGACCCACGACCCCATCTACAGGGAGTGGGGCTGGGAAGTGGTGATGGTGAGTGGCGGGGCGCAGGGGGAGGGTGGTGAACTGGTGGCAGGTGCCCTTGAGAATTCACAGTCAGGGTCCAAACCCAAGAGGAAGGGCAAGCCAGGCTGGCATCTGGCTAAAGTTGAGAGTGCAAAGGGTCAAGGTTTGGTTGCAGAGCCAGGAGTCCCCAGCCGGCCAGGAGCAGGCCAGGAACTCGTGAAGAGTGTTCTGAGTGCCCAATAATGTCAGCAGACCGAGAGGGGCGAACGCAGGGCGGCAGTCAGAGGTGGCCCAGCACACGCGTGGCCACTGCTCTCCGACGCTGGGGCCTGGACAGGTGACTTTAGATTTCTCCTCTCAAACAGGAAGGGGCTGCCAGCTCACCTCCCTCCTCTCCCCGAAGCTAGCCCAGCCCTGGGCAGCCCCCTCTCTGGGCTCTGCTCCCCCAATCCCCTTCCTTCTTTGGGGCAGGTATCAAAGGCAGGGTTGGGGATTCCAGAAGGTTCTTGGATGGATGCCAAGCTTTCTCTGCTGTTCTCCCCCGGGCCCACTGCTCTCGGAGGCACAGACTTGGTGGGGAGAGCCACACTCCCAGAGCACGTGCTCAGCTGGGGCGTGGGCCCTGCTCAGGCTCCCTGACATGCTTCATTGGCCAGAATCCCTCTGCTTTCCTGAAGACCCTGGTTCTTGACCTTTGAAAGCCAAGTGTTTTGTGCTCCTGGGCCCCACCCACAGACCCTCAGTGGGTACAACTTGCATTTCTGTACAAAAGGCAGGCACAGCCTCTGGCCCAGGGACTACACCTCTACAGGGAATCCCTGGGGCGTGCCAAGTCCAGTCCCCAAATCCCAGCCCGCAAACATCACCAGCCCCTTCCCTGACCTCTGTCCACCACTGTGGGTGAGTCTGTCAGGTCAGTCTAGTTCCCCGAGAGGCAGAGAAGCTTCCTCGAAGTTCACACCAGGTGAAGCGCTCAGGCCGGGCAGGGGCTAAGTTCTCAGCGTGGGCCCAGGGAGCGTGGTGACGGCAGGAATTCGGCCTGCTGCCCCCACCAATGCTGGGGTCTCCAGCCAAGGGGTGGGAGGGCCTGCCTGTTCGAGAGCTGGGCAGGCGGAATCTTGGGGGGGCGCCTCTCCTCTCCCCACACCACGGCTGCCTTCCTTTCCTTCAGGCCTTGGAGAAATACTGTCGGACGGAAGCCGGCTTCTCTGGGATCCAAGACGTATACAGTAAGGTTCCCGACCACGACAACAAGCAGCAGACTTTCTTTCTGGCGGAGACACTAAAGTGAGTTGGGGCTCGGCTGGCGTTCTTCCCAGAGGGCAACTGGGCTTTTCTTAGGGAAGGGGGAGGGGCAGGGGGGGCAGGGGGCAGCAGTCCCTTCCTTCACCATCAGTCAAGTTCTGCTGTCCCGGGAGCGCGGCCCAAGAGGGACGGAGGCTTGGGGTCCAGGGGCGGGCCTTGGGCCAGGCCAGTTTCTCCACGCAGAGTGAGGCCGGGCTGGACTCCACCCCCCTAAGCATTAGCTATGTGAGAAGTTAACTTCTTTAACCTGTCTCCTCAAGTTACTTAAGTTCTCTGAAACTGTGCCCTTCTGTAAAATGGGCAGAGTAATAACCATGATGGTGTCAAGCCCGGTCACTGCTGCAGTTGTGCTGCTGCGCTGTTCCCCTCCTTTCTTGGGGGGAACGTTGGCCTCCTCGTTTCCGCGCTGTTCCCTAAAGCAGTCCCCTTGTGCTTTAGCTCTTTAGGATGGATTGGATGGTCTGTTCCTTCCATTAAAAACCCCCATGGCTTGGAAACCTGCAGTTCTGGAGTCGCGACTCCCTGTGCGTTTTAGCGCCCGGACATCTGCTTGAGTGTCGAGTCTCCTGGTACATAAGGAAGCAGGCCGAGTCCTGGGGTAGCCCTCAGGCCTCCCTGCAAAAAAAAAGAGAGAATCTAGGCCACACAGGGTCCTCAGAGGGCCAGGTGGGGAAAGCACCTGAGGGAAGCTGGTTGGGGCAGAGGTACAGAGTGGGGGCTGGGGCAGCGCCAGGATGAACCGGCTCCGTCTGACCTAAAGCTCAGTGCTCCCCTCCACGTCCACAGCTCCTTCCTGGGGACGAGCCCTCTGGGCAGATTTGGGGTCTCTGACCTCCCTGCGCCCTTGGGCACAGGCCAGTCACAGAGGCCCCTGAGATTCCTTCCCAGTGGGTGCCTCCTTCCCCAGAGCGCTGACAGGCTGTGTCTTGCTCCCCTCCCTGCCGGGGCACAGGTATCTCTATCTTCTGTTCTCTGAAGATGACATGCTCTCGCTGGAAGACTGGGTGTTCAACACGGAGGCCCACCCGCTCCCCGTGAGCCACCCGGACAGCTCTGGCAGGGGCGGGGCCTGACTCCCACCACCCGTCGCCTTGTGCTCCAGGACCACCTTTACGGGATCTGGGGCTGTTCTCAAACGGATTGGAGATGTGGGCCCCTGCCTGGCGGACCCGGCAGATGTGTTGGACGAGCAACTTCTTTTCCTCTGTGAGGAGACAGGACTCGGAGACACAGCGATGTCACACCAGGCCCAGACATTCCTTTCCCCGGAGAATGTCTATGAAACCTGCTCACTTGCCATTCCAGGGCCAAAGCACCGGAGGTTTGCATTGCAGCCTCGTGTATTTGATTCACTTCCTTTCGTTTTGGAGGTTTTTTGGTTTTTGCTTGATTTTGCCTTTTCTCTACAGTTGTGTTTTCTCACAGATTTTAAATATAGTTTTCAAAATCATGTGCTTTCAAAAATGGTGTCCTCCAGTAAACTAAACCTTAAAGTGTTTGCACACACACACAAAATCCTGACCCCATTTTCTATAGTTTGAATTCCTTTTGCCCAACGTTTACTCTATGTTCAATTATGTGTCGTTTACCTTATAATTTGAGGAGGGGTTTCCCTTTGATTTGGGCCTAAGTGTTACGAATCACTAGTGCTGTTTTCAGTATTGTAATGGAAAATTCCGTAAAGTTACAATAAAGGAGTTTATTGAATAAGAAATACAATTGGGTTCATCGCACATCAGTGACTCCTGGGGAGACCATTGCAATGCTATCATCAGAAAGAATAATCAACCAGCAGTTGATTTAAGGTATAAAGATGCCAACTTCTAATACCTTCCCTTGAAATGGTCCTAATATATTCAGGAAGGGTGAGGGCAACCCTTTAAATGAAGTTGGATATTTATACTTACATCAAGGCTTGGAAGAGGCCCAGAGAGGAGCAGCAACTTGCCTGAGGTCCCACAGCCAGTAAAGGCAGAGGTGAAACCCCTAGGGTTTGCTCACCACCCCAGTCCAGCGTTCATCTATTCCATCATTCAGCAGATGCTTGGTGAGTGCCTGCAGGGGACCAGACGTGGGGGCGCAGCTGTGAGTGGGACAGTCATAAGCCCCGCCCTCAGGGAGCATACAGCCAAGCAGGGACACACAGACCATGAAGGAGAATGACTGCAAGTTACGTGAAGTGCTCCAAAGGAGACAAGCAGGCCGAGGCACTAATGTCCGGACCTGCCTTAGAGGGTCAAGGAGAGCCTCTCTGAGCAGATGACCTTCAAGCTGAGAGCTGGAAGGTAAGACTCTCCCACAGATCCACTCTCCTCCTGACCGTCACCCCTGGGAGGAGGCCGTTCTGCAAGGCAAGGAGGTCAGGCCCCAACACTGAGGAGAGAGCTTCCCCTCCCTCACCCTCACCCCTCTGCAGCGTGTCCACACAGCTGACTTCACAGGACAATACCGAGTCCTTTCCCAGGCTCAGCTACTTCATGTTGGCTGTTAGTGAACTTGAGTAGCCCCTGGGGTGTTGGGGCCCTGGGCCAGGTGACCTGGCTTTAAACCCTCACTGTGGGAACCTGGGCAGGTCACCTGTCTCCCTGAGCCGCTCTTTTCCATCAGGCAGAGAGCAGACCCTCCACCTTACAAGGTTCTCCTAAGTGGGATGCCGCTGGTGCCCTGGAGCTGTGGGAAGTGCTGCTTCCTTGTTCTGGAGACTCAGATGCTTCCGGCATGTTCTTAAGCAGTAGTTAGAGCTACAGGGAAGCTGTGGCTATAGCAGGAGCCCACGCATTTGGTAAATAAGTTGCTGCCTGAACCCAGAAAACCACTTCACTCTTGACAGGCACCAAGATAGTATGGCTCCAGTGACCTGCTAGGGCCCATTTTTTAAAAAGCAAAACACAAAATTAATTACACAGGTATTATAGAAAGGTTAGAAAGCTTATCTTTATGACAAGCTGAAAGAAAAATCATTCACCTTCCTACCCTCCAGAATAAATACTGTTACATTTTCTTCTAGATATTTCTCTATGAAGGGACAGAGTATATTCTGCAAACATGGTGTCAACTATGGCATCCTGTTTTGTTATAATCTGCTCTGCACCAGATGCTATATTATGAACATCTTTCCACGTCAACATGCATTTATCTCATTGCTGTACCCGGTTGTGTAGTGTTCCATCATGGGCTGTATCACACTTTCTGGATCTGAGCCCCAATTGTTGGGCATTTGGGTTTGTGTCAGTTTAGATTTTTAGCTACAAACAATAGAAACCGACTCTAACTTAAGAAAAAAAAAAAGAATTAAAATGCCTTGGAGTGGCTCATGGAATCTCAGGAGAGTGAACAGCCAGACATCAAGAAGGACTAGGCAGGGCTTCCCTGGTGGCACAGTGGTTGAGAGTCCGCCTGCCGATGCAGGGGACGCGGGTTCGTGCCCCAGTCCGGGAAGATCCCACATGCCGCGGAGTGGCTGGGCCCGTGAGCCATGGCCGCTGAGCCTGCGCATCCGGAGCCTGTGCTCCTCAACGGAAGAGGCCGCAACAGTGAGAGGCCCGCGTACCACAAAAAAAAAACCAAAAAGAAAACAGACAAACAAAAAAAAACAAACAAGGAAGGACGAGGAAGAGGATTTGATTTGGCCACGGATCCAGTTTGCAAGAACCAGGAGGCAGCCTCC